GTTGTGATCTTTTTCACGAGTGAAATTGCTCAAGTCAAAGTAGTTTGAGACAGGGGTATTGGAAGGCAGTAATAATTCGGTTTGAGGTTGTCTTTCGGAACCGTGTCTGTATCAGCTTTTGTAGATTTTGCTGAAACCGCATTTTTGATTGATTTCCCGATGTACATGAAAGACCAAATTTTGCTTGATATTTGGATCATTGAATTGCAGTCCATATCATTCGACTGTTATAATCATGGGCAGTTTTTCAAGGCAAGATAAGAGACTAGTTTTGTTGTATATGATACAAATGGGATGTCAATTAACGTTTGCAAATAAATGAATATGCATGAAGGTAACTAACAAACCACCCAGATGACGTGACAGGAAAAGCATACCAGCACCAACGCTCAGAAAAACATCAATACTTTACTTTCATGGAAAAAGAGAATTCGTACCATATAAACGGTGTTATTGTGATAAAAGTTAACCAACCATGTGACAATTCTATTCTTGAATCACCTTGCGGGCGAAGGAACGAACCTACACACTGGAGAGTTGATTAAATGTTGAATTTACTTTCTAGACAAGTTCACTACTTAGAACCTGCTCTCAAGTAAGGCTGAAGACAAACTTTCGATGTGGGGAAGGCAATCAGTAGCTGGAACCCTGCTTAACAACAATGCCCCATTAACATTCATATACAGAAGCCCGACAAACCAAGCAGCTGATGTCTCCAGACTGATCAGTCCAGCCAAATATGTGTTAGCTCAAGTAAACACATGCACTAGTTCCCTGCTTCTTTGGCAACGTCTTTGTCATCATCTTTGGCTGCATCTAGGGCACTCTCTGTTACTAAAGCTGTCTCCTGATTCTTGGCAATATACAGAAAACTGTTTTATAGGTGGACTGTATGCAATCCATCTTGCAAAATTAATTAAATGTCCCTGAAAAAATAATATAAAAACAAATTTAAGGGTATTTAAGTAATTTTACAGGGTGGATTACATACAGTCCGCCCTGTAAAATAGTTTTCTCATATATATATATATATATATATATTGCAGATATATCACCGGTGTGACAACTTATTAATCATTAATTAGTTATATATAATTTGTTACAAAAATTAATGATATGCTAATATATATACATGCACATGCAGAAACTGGTAATGAGGACAAAAAGTGTGGAATATATGCCCGTCTCCCTCTCTTTGGCATCCTTTGCTAATTGTGTTACTTGGACTTGCTATGCTTTCCTTCCTTATGACCCTTTCATCCTTGTAAGTTCTAGTGTATATATATACAAATATAATTAATTTAATCCTTTTTGGTATATGTATATATATTCCCACATTGATTGATATCCCAAATTTTTCTTTGATTAGTCGTACAACAACATTAATTAATTAATTAATTAATTGATTGATTAGAGAATTATGATTATATACTTTAATTGTTAAGTAAACTATAATTAATTAAATTATTTAACTGATAAAAAATTATAATTAATTATAATGATTATAATTTATGATTAATTAAATCATAATGACATTTAATTGCTAAGTAAACTATGATTAATTTAAGTAATTAATTTATTATAAAGTTACTATGTGCTAAATGGACAGTGAAGATTAATTTGAGAGCAAAATGAATAGTCAACCATACTTTGATAGTCAAATGGACAGTCAACCAAACTTTGATAACCAAATGGACAGTCAATCATACTTTGATAGCCAATATGATGGTATAATTTTTTTTTCCTTTTCCCTCCCATAATTTTTTATTTCATTTTAGTGCATACCATTTACTAACATATTACTTAATTTTACGTTAATTCACATAGAAATTGTTGAGGATACTCCGAAATCATTATGGGATTATCCATGTCAAAGTCCTCCAAGGAAGAAGTTGACAAAAGCAAGGAACCATATAGCAATCCCTCAAGACATTCCATTGCCTAAAAAAGAAGACAACTTTGTCTATCAAATATGTGATATTCCTGGACATTTAGTTACTATATGCCCGCACTGATATGCAGTAACTTGTCAACTGTATAACTGTGAGGGTCATACTGCAAAAGTTTGCCCAAATCGTTACCAATTAGAAATCGTGTCAAACTCATCCAAAACACCTGTTGAGTCCTCTGAAACTATTACAAAGATTTTAGGTAGTGGTCGTTGGCGTCTTACATTTACAAAAAAAGTCTGGGATGAGGCATGTGAACAATTACATTCTATTTAAGAACCGTAGTATCTTTACCTTACTTATCTATATTATGCAATATATTTTCTAATTTCCCTTATCCATGTATGAGATTATGACATAGTA